AAGCATAAAATGCTTATGAGGAGGCCTCCCTTCATAACTTAATTAACAATTCAAATTAATCGGATAAATAAGAAATAACTTACTAGGTAACGGGTAAATGAAACAAAACAATAAAATACAATACGATACAATACTATCTACAATAATGAAAAGTAGTAATGAAAAGTAGTAAACAAGGAAACTTAAACAAAAATTAAGAATGTGTGGGGTTATTTATGAAAGTTGCTTTAGTATGATTTTTGAAAATGGTGACGGAGGGACTAATTTGTAAAGTTCTATTTAGGTTGTTCCAAATTGTTGGGCCTCTGTACGTGATTGTAAATTGACGAAGATTCGATTTCGCATTGGATGGCCTTAAATAATTGCATTGACGTGTAAAGTGGTTGTGGATGTCTGAGTTTAATAAGAAGGTGTAGGTGTCGTGGAAGGTTTCAGGAAGGCAAGGACATTTATTCATTATCTTGTACATTAAAAGACTTGTTTGTAGTTTATTTATGTCATTTATGGACAGTATTTTGAGCTTTTTAAACAATGGTGCAGTAGGGAAAGTGAATGGAACTTTTGACGCTATCCTGATGTATCGTTTCTGAAGCAAAAAAAGCGGTTTAAGTGATGTAGTGTACGTACTTGCCCATATAATATTACAATAACTTAAGTAAGGATAGATAAGACTATAATAGAGAGTGATAAATGTTTTAGGAGATAAAAGATTTCCTACTTTCCGTATAATACCAATGTTCTTGGATATTTTTTTACTAATAAGATCGATGTGATTTTTCCATGTTAATCTTGCATCTTTTCCATGTTAATTTTGCTTCTGCCATTTCTGACTTACTTGCAACAGTGGGGGTGAAATGTTCAGAGAATTATTAGCGCCTTATACGTACAGTTGAACGTGAAGTCCCACGCATTTAAATTTGCGTTGACTTCGAGGGCTCATGGACGTTGAAGAAAATACAAAATGTCCAAGCTAACACAAACCGCAGACTCTGTCACTCCTTCTTAATACGTACGTTCGAGTAACGTTAGACGTTTGTGAGTGTACTGGAAATGTTACGTTTGTTCTCAACATTTCCCCCAAAACTAGCCACAGGGAGGATAACGGAGTCATTGCGCCTGGAAAAAATTCTTAAATGCTTCTACAAAAGATATATGTCAACCAACACTATTTTAGGTTTGAAAATATCGCAAGTGAATTTAATTTAGTTTTTTTTTTTATTTATTTAAGCTCCGTGATTACAGCGAACACGATTACGGATGGAAGGCTTCCGTTCGTTGTATATCACCTGTCAGGCCTTCTGTGACATCGTTTCTTTATCGCTTTTTTGGTATCTCTTGCTCCTTCAAAAATCTAGATGGTCATCAAAATCACAAAGCTTCTAAAAAAATCTATTCCACTCGAAGTCCCCATCCCCGGCCCAGTTTGTTTGAAAGCCGATCATCTCAGACGGGCTACCCCCATGACCCCTGCGGTGACATTTGCGGGTCATCGTATGAGGAGGGCGTGAACCTTTGCACATACATGCCAAATGCTATCATATTGGGGATGCCGAAATAGAAATAGGTTCTTTATTAACTCTCAAGCAGATACTAGTATTTCGGTGGCAAAATCGCCAGCCACATCTTGAATATACCAGCGCTAAATGTCACCAAAATAACT